GGGGAGCTGGGGGGAGAGAAGTGGGGGGGACACGACAGGGGTAGGAACATAGCTAAGCAGCTCCTGTCCCTGAGATCTGGGTACATCTATTTGCTGTGCTGTCCCTTAGGGGGCTACAGCCTGCAGGGATGCTCTGGGCCAGTGAACAGAGAGAAACAAGCTTTTAGGCCCAATCTAAGCTTTTCGAAAAGAGAAGGGGAAAGAAGAAGAGAAATCTTTTGTTTGGTGTCTCTTGGCAGTCGACTAGCCATGTTGGCCAAATTCTTTTAATCTGTATCACTGCTCCCAGCTGTGGGACTGCAGTCCCATTTTTAGTTTGTACCTAACCTCCTCTCTCTGTCTCTTCCCCCCCCCCCTTCCCCTCCCCTTCCAACCCAGCTCCTTTATTAAAAAAATCCAAAATAATAAAGAAAAAAAAATCAGATTCCTCAGTAGAGGAAGGGGCGGACGTGAAGTTTAGTTATATACCATGGAAAATTAACTCAAAAGTATATAGAAGAGACTATATTCGGAGTGCTAAAATCCTTACTTTTATTGAAAAAAAAACCCCAAACCCTGAGTGTTATGGAGTTGCGGTTACTTTGTTGTGTTAACTACAGAAGCTGAGACTGTGCGGATGAATGGCACAGAACAAGAGAGCATAATGGAGGCAATCAACCGTTAGGCTGGTTCACAATGCAATCCAGGCAATTAAAAGCTCACCAGAGTTTAAATGAAATGGTTCTACTTATTTCTGTGCACCACACTGCACAGGCTATTATTTATGTCTCTTTTTTTAATTATGATTTCCCTTAAACTGTCAAATAACTCGGAATAGCAGGGTCTCGGAGGCAATAAGAATTTTCCACAGAACAATTTACATGCCAATCTAAAACTAGTTACGACTCCTGATGTGCTACATGCGAGTTCTGAAATGTTTCTTAGCTTCTGAAACCTTAACTTCTTTTTATTTATTTTTTTAAGTCTGTGTGTGTGTGTGTATTGTCCTGAATAATTGGAGCTCTGAGCGCTTTTAGGATGAAGCTACAAAGTGAGAAAGCATCGGAAAAAGTATTCTTTTTATCTTCTACTAGATCTCTAACTCTCTTGTTGACTGCACATTGTCTGTCAGTTTGCTGACTTTTAAAGACCAGTGCACTGATATCTAATTTGCTCCAAACTGGTTTTTATTTTTGAAGTAGAGGCAAGTTTTCCCTCTCTTGCTCTTCGTACTACTGTCCTTGGTAGAACCGTGTTTGTGCCTCCACAAAGGAGGGAGGGGGAGAGTGGTCTTTAAAAGTTTTTTTAAGTGATCCAGTGGATAATAATACCCAGCTCTTCCTCCCTTAACGTGCCCTTCAAAGGTTGTCTGTACCTCACACCAGAAACTCTGTTCTGAGAGTCTTGTGCAGCACTCAGAACCATCAGGGACCAATCCTGCTACTACATCGCTAACAACATACAGTTCTTTATGCCAAACCTTCACCCCCTTCAATTTTTGAGAAGGGTGATGATTGGAATGAAATAAATTTTTGTTTCTCTGCCTTCCTTCAGGAGCCAAATTTAGCTTTTTTTCCAGCAATCTTGCCTCTTTATCCTGAAATTCATAGTTACAAATTGGTTGACAAGCGTTTCATCACACGGTAATAAACGATAACCAGGGATGAGGATCAGTTGCATCAAAGTTATTTTGGGAGACCAAGGGAAATCCAAAAACCTGTAAAGCAGGTTATGAAGTTTTCCTTTCAAAAATCCTAAAGGTGGTGGATGGTGATTAAGAAGTCTTATTCCTGACACATCTCTGCAGTTTACGTGCAGTATCTTGGGGACTGGGGGTGGAAGGAAGGAGGGAGGGAAGGAAGGATAGGGGAAGCCCTTGAAAGCATATTGGGGCAAAATGAAAAGGGTTCATTTGACAGTGACAGACAAGGAACTGAAATCTCTCAGTTCTGAGAACAGACCTGTGATGCAGAGCATGGGTAGGACTCTGTAGAACTGAAGGGAAAGCAGGGTTTGATTTCAATATTTTTAAAATATTATTATTATTATTTACAGCCTAGGTATAGCACTTATGGAACTGTGTGGTTTTTTGGAAGTGCCTTCCAGAGGGAGGGGGAGAGGAAGGCAGCAGTGCTGTGTGCTGCTACCTGGTATTTCGGCGGTGAGCAGTTTGGATGGTTTTGTGGGGGCTGTCAGCCTCTGAGAGGGTCCTTCCTGTGTCCTAAGAAATAAATGGGGACTTAAATCGTAGCCCATGAAAAGCTGACTGACAGTAAGCTGCAGGTATTCCTATTGCCCAATTAAGAGAGCGCTGAAAATACACGAGAGCGTATCTGAAAAGTATAACTGCATTGGAGAGCTGCTGGGAACATGAAAGGGAAGAGAGGTGGTCTGTGAGGTGATCTGCATTGAGGTGGCTTGCTCATACAGTAGGGAAAAAAAGTAATAAAATGTTCTGTTTTCAAAATTAAGTGTTCTAATCCAGAAGAAAAGGGTATGGGCAAAGAATTTGGAGACACATAAAACACTTACTGGAGAGCTGTTGTGTGGTTTGTTTTGTTTAGATCCATTCTATGTTTAAAAAAAAAAAAGTAACTTTTTTTTATAATGAACTATCAGTTTGGGGATGATTTTTGTATTTTTTAACTTTCATTAAAATAGAAGCAGCTCCATCCCAGGTCAAGTGCAAAAAGATCAGATCTATCTGCAGAGAAAGGCATTCCTTCCCTCCAAAAGCTGCTGCAGATTGAATCCCTAATCTGAAGATGCTGCCAGTGGGATGTCAGCAGCACCTTCTCTTTCAGCCTCCAGAAAACAGACGTGCGGGGATGCTAACACCATTTCCAAGGGGTGTCTGCCCCCTTTTTTTACTCATTTACATGAGGAGGGTTGGGGCTAACTAACACGAATGACAGTGCTCTGTGCACTTTCCTCGTGCAGCAAACGTCTCAAAAACTGTGCAGGGATATGCACAAGATCGTGCAAGCTCGGGTTTTATTTGTAAGGCAGTAACCTCGTCTTTGCAGCAGACCCCTCAGGAATTATCAGGCTTGATTATTGCAATTTGCTCAGATATTCACTTGGTTAGCAGTGTTTCTGTGGCACCTACAGATGTTGCAGGACAGTAGATCAGCCAGGATCAGAGACTGTCAGCCTCGGCTCTCTAACCCGCTCCCTTATCAGGCGACAACATTTTTACATTAAGATTTTATTTTATTTTTAACTTTAAAGCCTTAACTAAAACGTGTTTTATCCTGGTTTCCCTCGAGCTACAGATTGAAGTCCTAGAACAGCCCCCTCGTGCCGCTGAACTTTTTTACTGAGTTTCAAGAAGTTGACACAAACTGTGGCCGATTTTATGCATTTATCCTCTGTGTGGCTGAAGAGAGGGGCTGGGGATAAGCATGTTGCTGGCACTGAGCAGGTATTCAAACTCTAGCGTGATATACAACTTTACAGACTAAGGTTTTTCGACCAAGTGAAGGTATTAAAGATCCAGCAGGACTTCCCTTTACAATCTGGTACAGGTTCTTCACCACAAATTCGATATATTCACTGTTTTTAGTCATTTATTTGTAGTCATGTTATGTTGCTGCTTCATGTATGTAGCCTGGGTTCAGAGGAATAAGTTGGCAGTGCAAAATGCTGTAAAGGCTCAGCTTTTGTCTCGTGGTGCTTGCTCAGGGTGGGAGATGTGCGTTCGTTCCCAGATCCGCCATAGACTTACTGTGGAGCCCTGCCCAGGTCGCTGCGTCTCATCCTCCCCCTTGTGAACAAGAAACAGATCTTACAAGTAAGTGGTGTAGGAGCTATGAGGGTAGCATTGATTGGGAACTAATGACATGGCAGCGATGCTTTTATTTATTTATTTATTTTGTAATTATTGATAGAAAAATACAGACCTTACACTTCTGTTACGAGCTTTAGTTGTTACGCAGCAGTAACTGCCGTGGTACTTTGGGGTACTCACTGGGAGAACTGTTTGCATATCACTGGACAGCTAATTTGTCAGATAAATATATCACTCCAAAACGAGTTATAAAGTGCATTGCAAAGAAGGGAGCAGGGTTGTCGCGCTCATATGTCACACCAAGAATTACTGCTTCTAATTCAGTGACCAGCTTTGCAGGTGAAACTTGGAAGTTCAGCTTGGTAACCCTGGAAAGTCACTTAACTGGCTCTACAGTCGCTGCAGTCCGTATAAATTCAATGTATTCCACGTATATACATGTGTACTTATCCCTGGGATGCCTCAGCCAGCATAGCATTGAGCCTCTTCTCTCGGTAGCACTAATGTGCATAGAGGCACACTTTGCTTCAAGGGTTACGCTCATCTTGTTTTCCTTTCGAGAACTTTTTTTAAAAAAATAAACAAACAAACAACAAACAAACAAAAAACCCCAAACAAAACCCCAAACCCCAACTTGTTGGTGTTCTGGCTCCCTGAGCCTGCCTGTCTGTAGCAGTGTGTTACAGCACCAGGCGAGATCATCTGATAGACGCTGGGACTGTAAAGCTTTCGTAGCAGTAGGTAGCAGAGCCTTCTTGATAAGGAGCTCTTGAATTTGCTTTCCTTTGTTACAAGGCTCTGTTTGACCTCTCCCAGTCTCTGCATAATAACAGGGTGCCATACCCTGAATTTTGGGGTAGGATTTGCTTGTTGGCAACAGCGTTCGCTCCCCGGTCTTGACAAATTCTCACTGTAATATTCAGATGCGCTGTAATGAGTAGGGGGTTTTTTTTTTAGCTTTGCTTTGTTTTCAGTTACATCTCTTTGGCTTTAAAGCAGTGAGACAACCTAATAATTGAACTGCATGTCAGTTCGTTCTTTCTCTCCGGTGCCTGTCTGATGTCCAACAAAGCATCCGCGGGGCTGTGATTTTGCTTATTCTAAGAAATTACTTTCAGAGAATTGGTCTGAGTGTAATGGGATGGCAGTTCACGCGATTAACCAAGAGAGACCAGTCTGTAAGCACTTTGGGGCAGTGACCTTCTCTCCCCCATTTACTGTAAAACTGAGGGCAATTGATTTTTGTATGGATCTCTGGAAGCTGGCCGCGGTGCTCTGCGTATCATCACTCAACTGTGTTCCACTTTTACTAGTTCCCTCCCTCAAGCAGTGGTTCAAGCGTTTGAATTGTTATTTGAATGCTCTCTTCTTTTACCTCAAAAGGTGTATATGTACTCAGTGGACACTGCTGTACTCCTTGTCCCAGACTAGCTGTTGGCTAAAATTGGGATTGGAAAGTGGGGCAGATGTTTTGGGGGTTTTTTTTTATGTTTTGTGGTGCATTTTTTTTCCTTGACAAACTAGCAACTCTTTGACCTTGTGCAGATTATTTAAAAATCGGATTTTTCGGAAGGTCCTTACGCTGCAGGTTGTAATGAGAGATGCCGGTACTAAAGTCTCTGGAAATCTGATTGCTTCATTCATGTGTCTAACGAGAATGGAAATCTTAAAAAAAACAAAATACCACCTCCCACCCCCCCTTCCAGCACCAAAATGTCCATGTCAAACCTCCCTGAAACTCTGGCCCTGTGCTTCCAATGGCTTCAGTCTTTTCTTCTTCACAATCTGGAGTGCTTTTATATTTTTATAAAAATAGTGCACATGGGTCCAAATGTGTAGACTTAGCTATGTTTGCCATCATAGAGATGCTGTCTATTTAAACTTTTGCTTGCTAAACGTTTGATACTTTGGGTGGAAGCGGATGACTTTTCAACTGAATTGTTTTAATTTTTCATTTTAATTTTTAAATCCTATTTCTTTTCAGCAAGGAGACCGGGTAAGGAGGTGTTAAAGAGAAGCTGCAGAACTTGGAGCAGTGGAAGTTTCTGCTCTCAAATTTATCTTAACGTTGTTGTCAGCTTGTTGTGGACTATCTAGGTTATTTCATCCTCTCTACACAATTGCCTTTTTAATGAACAGGGTGTGGGGGTAGCAGCCAGATGGAGGAAGAAAGGGGTGAGACTTGCACTCAAGAGAATATCTATTTTCACTCTCCTCTCTGTCTTGTTGTGTTTCAGGTATACAAATGCTCTCAGTCCAGCCAGACACCAAGCCGAAAGGTTGTGCTGGCTGCAACCGTAAGATTAAAGACCGGTATCTTCTAAAGGCCCTGGACAAATATTGGCATGAAGACTGCCTGAAATGTGCCTGCTGTGACTGTCGCCTGGGGGAGGTGGGCTCTACCTTGTACACCAAAGCCAACCTTATCCTTTGTCGCAGAGACTATCTGAGGTAGGCCACGTCCTTCTTCCCTGACAAAACCTTGGTAGATCTGTTTAAGTCCTTCCGATGTAGTCGCCATTGCACAAGCGGTACCTGAGGGCAGCAAGGCCCGGTGTATGTGGAGGATGAGAAAACAAATACTGAAATACGGAGATGAAACTAAAATCTGGACCGAAAGGCCCACGTAACCAGGTCATGCGAGTGGCAGCCAGTTTTCTGATGTTAATACTGGGGTTCTGGCTCAGAGGAGGCAGAGAGTAAAACCCCACACTCTTTCCACAAGACCATTATCCTGATGGTCTCCTCTTCTTCCTCACAGCACGGTGGTGGCCAGGCGTAGAGGCCTGTTTTCACCAGCTCCAGTGCAGGGTTTGAACCCTCTGAGTGCTTTGCTCATCTTCACTTACCCACTTTCATCCTCTTAGTTTGCCAAGGGATTTTATTTGTGGCACTGGAAGCTTTCATGAATGTTGCCATTTAGCTGTTAGAAGCTGGACCAAGATGACCAACTGTCTTCCCCGTGCTAACTAACCGTGTAGTTAGTAGGCTCTAATCTGCTCTGGTCCTGATTTAACTCCATCTCCTGGGTGGAACATAGGGTAACCTGTTGCCACTTCTCAGAGACAGCAAATCATCACCTGATTTTCTATCTCTTGTTTGGATCTATGTTCTCAGAACTATTTGGGTTATAACTCGTAGCGAAGTACTGATGAGCAGCACCGGGCTAGTTTATGAGCAGATTGTATGTGAATAAATAGGGCTACTCTGCAGGAGCTAAGTTTAATCAGAAAGTTTAGTGTCCCTAGGCTCTCAATAGTAAATAGTGAGAAAAGGCTCCTCTGGGGTGGTTCAGAGCACCTATTTCCTATAGGAGCATCTTTCCTCCATTCCCTGTAGAGGGGGTCTAATGAGACTAGCTGCTCCAGGCGAACGTGAACTGCTGGGAATATTTCCCCTGCCCCTGTAGTGAAGCCTTTTCCTTTTAAAGGGACATTCAAGTCAGTAATACATTGGGGAAAAATTAAAAGTCTCTTTGAGCACGTTAACTTACAACTTTAGTTTAAGCACGGGTACCAAGTAGGAAGTTCCCACACACTGATCAGTTCCAAGCCGTACAACATGGGTAGGATGGAAGAGGAACCACAACTAAAGTGTTATTAACAACTGTTGGTACTCTGGTTCTTCACATTTCAAGCTGTTTTTTTTTCTCTAGAGTGGAACAAAGCCTTCGCAAACGCGTTGTGCGTTTGTTGAGCTGGGGCTGCAAGACAGATCAGGGCCTGGGCTTGGACTACTTATTGGTAAAAGTGCTCTCCTACTCATTAAAACTCTGAGCTGAACACGAGACAGAGTGCTGGGAATTTAGCATAGAGTCCGCATTTTAAAGCCATTGTGTTAAAGCTGCCAAAGAAGTAGGTAACAAAACCTTACTTTTAAAAACTGGCAGAGAACTGCTTGAATAGAAGGGGATTGTTGTACGTGAACCTAGGTCACTTGTGATCTTAAAGCGTGTGTCTACAGAGAGGAGCTGGCACAGTTTCTGGGGGGAAGGTAACACTTATCCTAATTTTTTTTAAACCCATTTTAAGACTCTTTCTACAACAAATGCCTGCAGGAGTGAGAAAACTCTGTTACGTCTCTTTGATCCAAGTTCCAAATTTACTGGAGACTTTGAACTTACTGAATCGGGATCCCAAGTGCTAGTGCAGCAGATCCAATGTTTTAAAATCAAATGTTTAAAATCAAAGCCAAAAGTGATCTAGTAGTAGAGATATGAGCAAAGCATTTCCCCAGCAGAGATGTGTGCACAAACACACACACACACACACTCTCTGTTGCTCTCTGGTCTTTGAAGGTCTAACAGGAATAAATAAATATTTTGCTAACAGATTGTTGAAATTCATAGTAAGTGATTCAGAGAAAGGAGACTGTACTTTTTATCTGTCATGACCACATTTGAAACTGGTGTTTCATTTACTTGGTCATACACAGTATTTTGCACCAGTGAAAACAGGATACATGAGAAATTCTGTAATCAATTTGAAGATGTTTCTGATTTTTGTCTCCAGGTTTATCAAGTCTTAATGAAGCTATCTTATCATGAGCCTTTTTTTAGTGATTCTTGTGAGTGCATAGATTTAAACTTGGTATTTACACTAAACTTCAAACTGATGCACTTAAGGTAATTGCAGATAGTCATTTGCCTCATTGCGTCTTATCTACTTAGTTATGCAGTGAACCTATAAAAGTGATCTTTTTAATGCTAATGTAGAAACTAGTTAAATGTTCTCCAGCTTTGTAGTCAAATAAGCTTTCATATTTAGCAACCCACTTGATATGAATTTAAAGAACAAATTACTTTGTACTAATGATCAGATTAGGGTTCGATTACGGTTTCAAACTATCCTCTTAATTTTTTTTTTTTCTTTTTAACCATAAAGGGAGTCTTTGCAACATATAAAACTGTTCTAGCTTCCTATTAATTTATGTGGTGCCCTCTAGAGGATATGTGGCTTGCACGATACCATAAAGAATAAAATTGCTTATTAACTTGTCTCTCTGTGTTCATTATGTCTTTCAATAAGACAGCCATTCTACAGATGCTATAAGCAATAATGTAGCCAGTTTGGGTGCTTTAACATTCATGGTTAAACTCACAAACTGTGTGATTGTGTCTTTGGCTATTTGCAGAGATACTTCCAGTATCTCTCATTTAGAGATGCCTGCCAAAAAACTAAACACTCCCTCGGCCCTGATGCACGCTCTTATTCCACGTTTGAGCCCTGAGGTACCCACTTTGAGTTTTTTATAAATACTCTGCATCTTCAGAACTTCGCAACTTGCTTTGCTTTAGCTCTCTCCTTTGGTAAAATTAGTTAAATTTGCTATATTAAAACCTTTTTCTCTAGGCTGGGGGGGTTAAGGGGGTGGCAGTAATCTTTAATGAGGTAATGAGCTTGGAAGATGCTTTGGGTGTGAGAGGCTTTACCCTGGAATCGGATTCATGTAAGTCACTCCAGTGGCTTCAGAGGTGGTGTATGACACCGAGGGTACTAGGGTGGCCGCAGACAGAATGAACTCTGGTTTGTTAACGAGGATGAGAACTGACTTGAGTAAAGAAAGGACTCAATGTTAGAAATAACACACTCGGTGAAAATGATATGCAGAGTATAATTCCCCTGCAGGCTTCTGTCTCCTGCTTATACACTCTTGGGTTAGAAAGTGAAGACTTAATTTAAGGAACTTAGGTTTACGCCAATATTTCAAGTCCATTTACAGTAAGTGAAATAGGGAAGACTTTTTTTTTTTTCCCTTTTCTTTTTCCCTCCAGAGCTGTACTGTGACATCTTAATGTAACAGCCTATCCCGCTCTGTCCTCTCTTCTGACTGGCAGCGTGTCCATTTACAAGCACAATATTCCCTTTGAAATCTGTCATTACTGCCATTAATGACCAGTCGTTATGTTAACAGCCCTTGGGCTGTTAACATGTCAAACTGGTTGTTAACTGGAATGTTATTACTTATTTAAACCGCAGGTATGGAGTTGTGTGAAACGCGCTTTGGTTGCGCGTTCTGGGCTGCTCCTGCTCAAAACAATAGGGAAACAGCGGAGCCTTTGCCTTTGGGGTGCCGAGGGATTCGCTTTCTGTTCCATCTGCTCATTTGATTTCTGCATATTTGCGAGGTCTCCTCCAACCCCAGGGCAGCCTCTGAATTTCAGGTGCAACCGTGTGCCATCCCATCTCTTAGCCTTGCGCGCGAACGGGCAGCGGCGGATGTTTCCAGATGCGCGGTAATGCCTGCCGCACATTTGAGATTAATATCTGGCCCCTGAAAGTGTAAAATGAAAGACTGACAATTACATGTAACTCGGTTGTATTAAATAATGAGCTTCCTCGGATGCAGAGGAAATATGAAAGTACAGCTGTGCTAAGCTAGTAGCAATGTAGGTCAATCACCCTTTTCACTTAGGTTTTTAACTACGCAAACCCTGCTGAGCGACCAATGACTACAAAGTGCTGTTTCATTCCTATTTAATTTTGGCAGCATTTTGCTGAAGAGCAGGCATTCATGCAGCTAAATTATCTTCACCGTTTCTGGTTTTAACTCCAGCTCCATGACACTAAATGTTGGAGTGCATATCTCTTAGTAAACACAAAGAATACGGTTTCTGATATATTTTTTTTTTTTTCGAATCCATCTCTTAACACGGAAATTGAATTAGAACTTTTATTACTTTTTGCATAATTTCCCTAGCCAGGCAAAACAGATCATAGAAAAGGATTAACAAAACTAATATGTTGGGGTGGAATTTTTGCCCTTAAACACGTCTAGAACCTTACTGAGGATGGGGAGGATGGGGACACAAAAGTCTAACCCCCCCCTACCCAACCTTGGTACTGATTTCGCTCGTAAATGTACTGCAGACTTTAAAAGTACCACTGAATGGCTATGAAGATGAGGAAATCACTCTTCCTGAAGAAAGGGGCAGGTCACGTTAAGTGTTTTTTTTCTTCCCTGCTTGCTGGTTCGAAGCCCTGCAAGAAGCCAAGTTTTTAAAACACATGTATTGGATGAGATCTTGTAAATAATGAGACGTGACTACAGAAAATAAAATGTTCAACCATAAGCATCGTAAAAGATGCTGCCTCTGTAAAATATTTAGCTTGTGAAAGGGTGCAGGCTGAAAAGAGTAGAGTTTAGGAAGCAGCCTTTTTCCTGTACAACTGCTCGCACTCTAAAGGCAATTATTATTTAAAAAAAGTATTACTTAGGAGTACTTAGAGAGACTTGAAATGTCCTGTGGCCTGGTACTGATTAACAGATCCTATTTCTCTCTCTCTCTCTCTCTTGTCTTGTGGAAAGTGCACATTAAGTATTGCAAACACCTATGATCCCAGCTCTCTTAAATGCATGTATAAATATTCTATATGGCTATTTTCACAGGTCGTAGGTTATGAGGTGTTTTCAAAATGACACCTCAGTATGCTCCTTGCCCAGCTTGATTA